ACAGACGAGGAGTACAGTAGTTGCAAGTCACCAGTTTATTATCTATTCAGATTGCAATCCGGGAGCGACCATCTGACATACATTCAGCATGTACAGTAAGAAGCTCGAACCCTAGGTGTCGGCTCTGGGTCTTTATAGGCCTTTTGGGGTGTGGCCCCCCTTTTCTGTACTTTTCCATCTACGTGACTACAACATATTTCGACATTTGCTCTAGTTAGCCAGTGAGTACATGTCCCCCCCCCCTTTATGTAATGCAAAAGTTAGAAGAAGCATTGGTTATCTGATGGGTTCCTGTCTTCTCCTGGCACGAGTTCATCTTGACCTGTTCTCTGGCACGAGGTCATCTTGACCTGTTCTCTTGCTATCAGTTCCTGATTTCTCCCAACCTCATGGAATGAGATCACCCCATCCTGCAGGCCTAGTATCAGTTCCCATTTCTAGTGTCTGCATTATATTAGACACCGAGTTATTAGAAATTAGTAAATTAGTATTTGGATTATTAGTAGTTGGATTATTGTATAATTAACCCTCATTATTGTATGATTAACCCCTCAGTAGTAAGATATGCCTGTGATTTTCTTATATGTATTTGCGCAAATATAACGCAGTATTTTTCCCAAAAAACAATACATAAAAAATACTGGTGTCTTATTTTCGAGGGCTAGAATTTGGATGTCATTATACAACAGGAGATTATCCGCCTCCTGGATAAAGGTGCTGTTGCCGAATCCTCAGCAAGGAAAGTAGCATGTTGACTGTCCCAAAATTCGCTAGAAGTTGCTAAATGACGCCATCGCCTCATTCGCATGTAATTCAATTGGACGCTGTAGGAGAGAGGAATAATGTCGTGGGAGAGACAAAAGGTTGTTAAAAAACACCCTAAATACGTCTAGAACTGCAAATGAATTTTCTTCCGTCGATTCTTGTTTTTTTATATCACAATTCCAACACTCCTCCTTTATCCAGCATTGGGACGGCCAAAGTGACCCCAAAGAGACGCTCTGGCGGAGTAACTTGACATAAGCCAGGGCAGCAGCAGCAAGCGGCGGCTTCGCGCATGCGCGGTTCATTTACAGTCTGGACGCGGAGGGGTGAACATCTCTTGCTCTGACTGCAGCTGGGCGGGGCTGCTGCGCGAGGACCAGCCGCCTGTGAGCGCTTTGGGACGGGCACTGCATTAGTGGAACGAAATTTCAATGATAGCATAAAACAGTATTGAAAAAATATTTAACAATGATAAAATAATAAAATAACTGAATATAAGTAATTTGGATGAAGAGCTGAAATGAAAGAACTTCACTTACAATTGGATCATATTTACTTAGACTTGGCCAGAGGTGCCTTCATAAGATCTAGAACCAAATGGATGACGGTGAGAGACCCAGTTACATTTTTTGCTCTAGAAAAGCAAAATAAGAAAAGAAAATTACTCAGTGCTCTACATATTGATGGGGCCCAGTACACAGATCCTAAAATGATTTATAATTTTGTGGTGAACTGTATGTGTATTATTACAATCTAGCATCTTCAGACAATTTTATAGATATAACTAAACATAAAACTCCTCAAGCAGGAAGAGATTTCCAATCCATTTGTGATTCTGACATGACTTTATTCGAGATCAAGTATTCCATTCACTCAGTGAAAAAGTAGAGGCCATTATGAAAGGTATTGATAGCTTATCTGTTGAATTTATGGTCACTTTTGGGATGTTATTGAAAAACCCTTGATCAGTATGTATTTGGATTGCATCAGTCAGTGAGAGCTGAAATCCACAGTGAAACAGTTTTTTTTTTCCTAAACCAGACAAGGACCTATTAATGATAATTGGTGACCCATCACTCTCTTCACAATTGATTATATGCTTTTAGCTCGGGTTTATGCCAGTAGATTGAAATCAGTGCTTCATAATATTGTTTCAGAATCCCAAACTGGCTTTAGGAAAGGTAGGATATATTACTAACAATATCAGACTTGTCCTAGATTTGTTAGATTTTCCTGATTCGGTGCACTCAGAAGCAGTTATTCCTTTTTATAATTTTATAAGCCATTTGATATGACTGAACACAGATTCCTTTTTCAGATCTTCAGAATTGTATGGTTTTGGAACTATAGTTTTAAGGCCATTGATGAAATGTCTTACAAAGGAATTAACAGCTCAGTAATTATTAACTCAGATACATTTAGACTTAATACAACATGAGTCGTCAGACAAGGCTTTCAAATCTCTCCTGTTTTATTTTTAAGAGTTACTGGATTACACTATAGATGATAACCACTTTAAAGGATTTTGTATTGTTGACAAAGAAATTAAAATCTCCCAGCTCATTTTCTTCAAGGTAAAAACCAATTACCAAAGGCTATCAGTTTAGTTAAGCAATTTTCAAATGCCTGAAGCTTACAACGTAATATATCTAAGAGTCAAAGTCCTGCACTGGGTCGATAGTTGCTGAAACGGGCGGATTTTAATGTTCTGGAATTTTACGGGTGGGTATGCGGGTGGGTAATTCATTACACACGGGCGGGTAGCAGGTCAGTCAAAACAGTATTGTAGCCTGCAAAAATAACATATACGCAAAAATATCTATGTATTAGACTATCATGTACAAATTGTCATCATCACAGTGTGTTCAATATGTCGATTGGGGGTACCTTATGGCAAGGGCGTAACTTTGGCTGGAACATTGGGGGGGGTCGAGGTCTCCACCCATTACAGGGGAAACATGATTATTGGGGGGGTTATATTGACTGGATCTGATTATTGGGGGGGTCATGACCCCCCTAACCCCCCTGGAAATTATGCCCTTGCCTTATGGTGCTTTCGATTATTTCTCTCTAAGTCGGAACTCAGATAAAAATGTCACGAAACGTTCAGTGTGATTTGTCTCTTCAAGGTAGAATACTTTTATCTAAAGCTGAAAGTCTTTCCCAGTTAGTTTATCCTTCATATTCCCTGTCTCTTGAGTAATGCCAATGTGAATAATATCAAATTATTTTGGAACTTTATTTGGAAAAAATAAATCCCATAAGCTAAAGAATGGTCTACTTTGTTTTTTATTGCTTTTTCACTCCTTTTTTTGTTTTTAATAACCAACCACCACCCCCTCTTCGGAAGACAACTTTATTTTTAATTAGCTGAAGAACAGATCAATATATTAAGTGAAGCCGCTCCACATCAGCCAACCCCTAATACATGGCAGGTAAGACAGACAAAACACGACACTGTAAAATCCTGCAGGTTGATGTAGACAGACAAGACAGGACATTACTAAGCAAAGCCGGACACTCACTGGGATACTTAGGGATTTTCTATGAAGTTGTCAGTGTTATAACATGCGGCACTTGGGGTAAGATTGCACTGAGGAATTTTGGTGCCAATATGACTATCTGTGCGTGTGTGTTAATGTATTTATGTGTGTCATTCAGTAGGCTCACTTTACAGGCAGGTCCAGTGCATTGGTGAATGAGCCCCAAACGTTTTGAAGGATGGGGTTTGGTGCTGTAAGGTAATAATTTCCATGGATATACAGTCTTTCAGTAAGTTTGAGTAAGGCCATTGTGTGACATTTACTGTGTGTCTGGTTTTGCAGTCTAACAGGATAGTTTTCTTGGCGATAGATTAGGCAACCAGTTTGGGTACTGCATCTTCGATTGGTGAGGTTATGCTTGAGAGATCTCCAAGTTGACTGATAGATGGAGGTTGTGGGATTCTGCAGCTCAATATATAGGAGATCCTGTTAGTGATTTCTTTCCAGAAACTTTGAACTGGTGGGGAGAACCAGAGAGAGTGAAAGTAGGTATCTGGGGTGCATAGTGCTCACTGAGAACATGTGTCCGTTCCTTGTGCTCTGTGAATTATCTTATATTGAATTAGTTGCAGGTTAGTGTTTTTAGATATAGTGAAGGTGTTCTTGCATATTCGGGTGCTTGTTGTAGATGATAGGTAATTTTCCCCGGCTCCGATTGGGTGGATATTAGTTTCTATAATTTTGAGAGAACTTTGTGTCAGTTATTTTTTTGATTTCTTCTACCAGTGGAAATGGCAGTAAATTGTTGTTTAATACCTTGATTTTAGATTTAAGAACAGACTTCAATTGGAGGTTTTGGAGGTATTGTTCTTTCCCAATATCATAGTTTTGGACTAATAACTAATTGTTGGAAGGTAATAAATGTGTAATTCTCGAAAAGGTGGTGGAAGTGTGTGATACCCTTTTTTCTCGGGAACTGAAGAAAAGTGGAGTTTTCTTGAGTGGAAAGTCCAGATTGTGCCAAATTTAGGTGTATCTACAAGGTTTCATTGCAAATTTGAAGACTTTGTTGATTTTCCAACAGGCTGTTAAGGTTGTTGAAATTACTCCGATTGTTATATATCTATCTATAAATTGTTCTATAGCTTTGGGTGAATCCAGTTGTTGATGTATTGTAGTTGATTTGCTAGGTAATCATTTTGAAAATTTGGGGCTTCTAGTCCACCTTGCGTTTTGTGTTTCTGTGATGTTGCCAGTTCAATCTGGGTGTTTTATTTTTCCGATATAATTTAGCTATTATGGAATTTAGTGAGTTAAACCATTTTGTGGTAGGCTGAGTTGGGATCACTGTAAAAAAGTAATTGACATTTGGTAATATGATCATTTTTACAGTTGCTATTCAGAGTAATGAGAGAGGTAAGTATATCCTTTGGTTTAAATCATCTTCATTTTTTTAATAATGGGATGAAGTTCAGGTGGAATAACTGAGAGGCTGGCAGAGATGTTTATGCCAAGGTACTTGATGTTGCCAGTGGGAATGGGGACATGTTTTGAGCTGCAGCCTTCCAGTACTCACAATGTATGGGTAGTATTGTGGATTTTGTCCAGTTTATGGAATATTCAGAGACTTCAGAGAATGAGGTAATAAGCTTGATGACTTCTTGAAGAGATTCTGCTGGTTCTTGCAGATAGAGGAGCACATCATCTGTGTAGAGGTTGATCTTTTGGTTGGTGCTGAGGATTTGGATTCCTTTGATAGTATTGTTTTGGCATATTGCAGCGGCAAGCCTTTCGACGAACAGGGTAAAAAGTGATGGGGAGAGTGAACATCCCTGCCTGGTTCTCCTGTGCAGTGTGAACCTCTGTGATGTCAGTCCATTAGTAACCACTGTGGCCAATGGTGAACTGTATAATATTCTTATCCAATGAATAAATGATTCTCTGATACCAAATTTAAATTTAAAGTCTTTCATGTAGTAATGTCCAATTTACTCTATTAAATGCCTTTTCTGCATCTAGGAATACAATTATTGTTTCCAAATTGTTTTCTTTTGAGACATGGATTAAATTAAGTAATCTGTGCATATTATTTGATGTGTGTCTACCTTTGATGAATCCGGTTTGATCTGGATGTATTAATGATGGGTTTACTGTTTCAAGTCGGGTGGCAAGTGCTTTACTAATAATTTTGAGATCTGTGTTGATAAATGATATAGGACAGTAACTGGAGCAAAGGGTTGGGTCTTTGTTAGGTTTTATTTGTACTGTGATAATGGCTGTATTCATGTGTTGAGGGATTTTGGAATTGTGTTTGATGTTAAGTACCATTCTGTTATTGGCGCAGGGCATGGTGCAGGCGGGAAAAAAGTGGCGACCCACTTGCAGCTCAGAGACAAACAAGGGTTTATTGAATTTACCAAGGAACTCTGGGAAAAAAGCTCAATATAACAGGACCACAAGGAGTGAAAACAAAAACCAGGAAAAACCACAGATCAACTACTATAGAAACCACAGTTAAACAACTAGGGAGCAGGACTGGGGAAACCAAGCACAGAACCCTAATTCATACATCACAGTTACTGACTCACCAGAGAACAATGCAGGGCAGGCATGATGTCAGAGTGTAGTTGTTGTTTGCATGATGTCAGAGTGTAGTTGTTGTTTGCTGTGCAGGGCTACATTAAAAAGCAGCTCTGTGTGAAATCATCTCACCTTGTTCCTTCTCTGCCACTCTGATGCCTTGATTTGCCAAGTGCTATGATAATTCAAATGAGCATATATTTGTCATAAAACAAAATTGCCCAGTTTCAATATTTGATATTGTGACAAGCAGAATCTCGCAATTCACAGAGTGCACTCAAAAGTATGTATTTCCAACACTAGACAAACAAGCAGGAAGGGAGTGAGCGGAATCGGAATCAAAGTAATGAGGCAGAGTGGGGCTGGAGTCGGGGTGGTCGGGGACAGGGAATCGAGAGGCAGAGTCAGTCGGGGTCATGTGGATTGTGTGTCGCTGGAGCAGTCGGAATGGTCAGCAAGATGGGCACAGTGTGTTGGGAGTGTGGGCGAGTTGGTGCTTGCTGTCTGTTAAGCCCATTTACGGACTAAAAATAAAAGTGTGTTCCTACTTAAAGCCATTCCACCATTTTGGCAGCCCACCACACCAAAATCTTTGCTACCACGGCAAAAAAAACTTCAATCCAACCAATCAGTTATCTAATCCAATGCCTTGGTGACTCACCCATGAAGCCCAGTTCTCACCCCCATGCACACATTACAGAATTCAACTGGTTAATGGCACAAACAGCTATGCTTACATTGTCATTTGGCAGACACTCTTATAAAGGTCTAATAAAATGGCCTTAATTATGTATTTTCCAAGGAAAAGAAAAACAAAATAGGTAAACAGGATAGCCATTTATTTTCTCTCATCACTCTCTTACGCCCCATTCACACACTGAAACCACTTATTTAGTGCTTTTATACCATTAACGTGTCATGTGGGGATGAGAGCAAATAAAGAGGGCTTATCCCTCTTTATTCACGACACTGATATCAGGTATAGGGAGTACATGGCATTCGTTACTCACTTCCCAAAACAAACCTGATATGTTAGCCTCACCTGCTAAGTCAGAGTCATATACAAAGTTAGGTGGCAGGCAGTGCAGTTAGGCTGTTCTTGAATGAATCACTGGAAGCCTTAATTTAGCAACAGGCTAAAACACATAGTTATAACTGTCACTGAAAAATAATGAGCCTATATAAATTCATATAATTAAATGTGTTTTACCTCCATAGACAGAGAGGGAACAGACCATGATTAAAAGAAACAAACATGTACAGTAATGGTCTGCATTCCGGGATCCGGGCGGGTTTGGTGCGTGGCCAAGGCATGATGCAGGCAGATAGGAAGGGGGTGGATGACCCACTTGCGGTTTGCAGGGAAAACAGAGCTTTATTAACAAGCTGAACACTAGGAACTCTACAAAAAAAAAAAAAAAAAAAAAAAAACAGACCACAAGGGGGCAGGCAGGAGACAAAATAACAGAACATTCAATATCAGCAACAAACATCAAACAATCGATTCCAGGAAGAACGGAACAGGATCAGGAACTTAAATACAAACACTAAACCGGGTAACAATTAACCAATCCGGGAGGGTGCAGGGCAACGAGCAATCGGGTAAACACACAAGGGCAGGCACAAAAACAGGCAACAGCTGAAACTAATAATTAAACTCAGGGAACTCAAACCAGCAAAGAAACTAAGAAAACAGAATCTACACTAGGGGAATAACAGACAATTAAAAACACAAGCAGGGGCACAAGGCATGAAACCAAAACCAAATACAAATCACAAGACAAAGGAACAAACTGCTTGTTGTGTTAAGGGAATATATAAGCCAGATTATTATTATTAACAGTGGAAGTCTGTGGCCTTGGTGAGGGCTAGGAGGGGGTGGCTGAGAGATAAGGTTAACGGAGAGGAAAGGGGGGGCGATCCAACTGCTGCTGCTTCTCTGCCAAAAGCTAATAAAGCTGCCTAAAGTGTCCCCTCCTTCACTGCCACTGCCTGAACATGAATTGCTCCTCAAAGCATTGGTCAAGTTTGTGACCCCAGTTTGTGACCCCAAGGCAGAGGAAGAGGATGGGGTGGTGCACTTGGAGGACAGGGAGGAGACAGGAAATGCTGGAACTGTGGAGATCCTAATCATTTCTCCAGGAACTGCTCTCAGCTTCAGGCTGTGCAGGGGAACCAAGCTGGAAGAGGGAGAAGGGCGTGGATGACACAGTCCTGAGAGACTGTATCCCAGAAGGACAAGAACAGCCTGAAAGATTGCATTGCACTGCTCAGTTTTCTGAGTGGATAAAGGAGTTTGAGAGAGAAGGAAAACTGGGAGAGATTGTTGTGCTTGATTACCTCTCTGTGGCATAAGACAGGTCTGCTTGCGTCTGTCCGTTTGTCAGCTGACCAGGAGAAGTGTTATGTGGGAGATTAGGTTCCCCAATAATAAAGTTCTTTGGAATACAAATTCAATTATAATTAAGTTGTAAAGTGCTGTTGTAGATTTTGGGAGCCATTTAAAGATCTGATAGTTCTGCAGTGAGTGCTATTGAGAAAATGAGAGTTTGTTTTAATGGTCTTTTCCCTGAAGGGAGAGTTATAAAGAGTGGGTCTCGTAGATTTCAGAAAGGGGGGAGAGTTTGCTGCCTGTAATTTGTGATGGTCAGAAGCAGAAGAGCATTCCCATCTTTCCAGAAGTTGAACACCAACTCTTTAGTTTTAGGCATTCAGTTGTGGAAAAAGTACCACAACTCAATCAGAAAAAAAAAAACTGATTTCTGTTGGCTGATTCATTGTCAAATGAGATCAGCCCTACCATTAGTTGTCATCACCACATTTAAACACAATGTGTCATTACTGTACAGTGAATATGGGAGGGGAGACAGTATGCAGCCCAGAGGGGAGATTAGCTGTGAGCATTCTGGTGAATTAGTGTCCAAATAATGCTTTGCTGATACACAGCAGTAAACAATAACTTAATGCTTATACGTTTAGGTGTATGCATGTAACACCTCTTAAGAAATAATTGTGAGCTACACATCTGTGAGAGCTACACATCAGTCAGAGCTACACATCTATGAACATTCTTCTGTTTGTGTTTCTGATCTGTTGTTGCCAGTCTTGCTGACCCTTTGGTAATAAATGCTCTTCTTTTAATCTCTGCTATAGAGTACCCACACACCAGTCTATAATTAAAGAGGTCTGACATCCAAGTGTAGGCAACCAGGTTAAATGAATTGTACTCTGGAGCAACAGCTGCAAATCACAATTTGAGAACTGTCAATCCAGACTGATACATTTACCACATCCAAATCACAGTCAACAAGCAGCATCAATAGACACAGAACATTCTGGAAACCAGTGGCAGTCAAAGTAAAGCACAGAGCTGTGACAGTTTAACTGGGAGCAAGGTCAGTACCTCCCAAAGGTTCTTATTCAGAGAGCTGTTTAACCTAATGGTTAATGATATGTCACAGGTTTGTTTAGTCTTCACACAAGGTGACTTGAGGTAGGAATAACACATCCTGTTTCATTCCATTTCAGTAGCACTGAGTGTCTAGCTGGTAACTAGCCAGCTTGCATCTATTTCAAAAGAAAAGTATTGAAATATGAAAACTAGTTTAAATACCTGTAATATTATGGAAGCGGGTATTTCTTCAGATTTTTTCACTCACCCCTTTGTGCCCCGTAATCAAATAGTGCCCTAGGTGATCGTCGGTGTCACACCCCGATTGTGCTGATCCTCCTGTGCCACGCCCCCCTCGTTAACCTCATGTCGATTCCCAGTGTTTCACAGCTGTTTTCAATTGTCTGTATTAGTTCGATGTATTTAAGTCCACGTCAGAGTTTGTTTCCCTAGTTCTGTCATTGCAGTGTCGTGCATTGCATTGTTATAGTCGTGTAGTTCCGTGTTGTTGTTTTTTCCTTATGCCCCTTCGTTCTCCAATTAAATCCTTTTATTTAACCCCGTTCCTGCCTTCCTTCGCCTGTTTCCCCGGTCTCTGTCCTACGTCGTATGACAGTCGATGTTGTCTATACAGCAGGCCAGCCCTGGGCAAATGTGCCCAACTTGCTTTTTTTCTGTTTTACCCCTTGGAGTTTGCTGGAATTTTCCCCTTTTCACTCATTTCCCTTTGCCAGTCCACCTTATGGTAGTGTACCATAAAAGGGGAAGTGTGTCATTTGACTAATGAACAAAAAGACCTGAATATACAGTATAGGCCAGAAAAAAATAAACGATGCACTGCTTTTTCAAACAAGAAACTATGAGAAATACTTCATAGAAATATAACTGATTGGTTTTGAAGTGTAATGTAACAATTTACTGTGCATTGTAAGTGCAATTTAATGAATGCAAGTGCTTAAGTATGACTTTCATCAAAATAACCACCCCTTGCCTTTATCACTGCAGCACAGACTCAGTATCCAAAGTAAGACACAAAATTTGTCTACAAAGATTAAGAAAATTTATTACATGACACTGATCTAGCACTGGTATCCTGTGGAGTAGGACAGAGACGGGACAGAAACTCCGCCACCTCGCTGGCAATGAATGTTGGGTTGGGGTGGACGACAAAGGTGTTGGCAGCCACTGTCATCTCCCAGGCATCCACAAACCCCACCTCCAGGTCCCCGAACACCTTCCTCTGAACCAGGTTCTGCAGGTGTCCGTGCCAGTCACTGAAGCGTTCTGGTTCTGAGGAGAGCTCCCTGGTGTTCTCCAGCTTGATGAAGATGCGGGTCCCGGGACTGCGGGCCTGCAGCCTCTGGATGGCCCCCCGCAGACTCAGCAACCTGCGGACAAAGAGCTCCAGGGGGTAGGCCCGGAAGTGCTGCCCCACTCCAATCACCACCACTGTGTCCTCTCCCTCTGCTCCGATAGTATCCAAATCCCGGGAAATGTAGGAAGATTCACTGAGTTTGCTTTTATGGGTAGTTATCCAAGGATAGTTGTCTACTTTCCACTGGATGCTGTACTCTCCCTTAGGGTTCACAAACTTAATGGAGGAAATGCCTTTAACAGAGTTTAAAACTGACTGAAACTCTATAAATTAAAGGAGAAAAAACACATTTGCAACAGCATCATGACAAAAAAACTGAACATGAGTCTCTGATAGATATTTACAAGGTACAATGTAATTGTCAGAGATACTCAGAGATAGCAGCAGCATTTTTAAGTTTTTTTTCAGGGCACACTCACATACCATTCACTCATGCATGCACACCTACAGACAATTAGGTAACACCAATTAACTTCAGCATATTTTTGGACTATGGGGAAAAACCAGAATACCCAGAAGAAACCCCACAATGATACAGGGAGAACATCCACAATTTCTTACCTTTTTGTATTGTAATCAAATACTCAATCCATTGGCGAACTGTAGAGTCTCCCATAAGATACAGTGTCTTTCCCTTCAGGCAGCTGTTGATGGACTTCAAAGTGAAGAAGCTGCCAGTTTGATAGTACAAGGAAGACCACTGGTTTCTCCAGAAAAACCCACTTGGGATGCTGGGATTGATTCTCTGGATGCAATCCCTACCTCTGCTGTTGGGAATAACTAGAGACAGGGTGAGAGAGAATGCAGATAACACTTGATACAGTTTCAGGTTGTCAAACTATGGCTTTGTCAGTTTGTGTAAACCAATTAGCAACAGCAATTTCTTAATCCTTGAGGCTAAATAATATTTCAGGCAAGTATAAGTATTT